CACACACACACACACACAGCTAATGTCCATCACCTCCCCCACACATAAACATGAACATCCCATCCCTCCCTTCCATCACTCAGAGGAGGCAGGTGACCGGCTGGTTGTCAAATATGAGCTGTCAATGCACAGGGAAGATAAAACACAACTCTGTTTTGTTAATTTGTTGCCCTCCCTCCCTGCAGCTTCTTCTTCTGTCCATCTCTAATCATCTTTTAATTCCTCTTCCCCTCCCACGTGTGCACTCATTCACTCTCCTGTATGCTCACAAACAAAACACACTGTGTTCCGAGGTCGGAGACTTGCTCTGCCCCACCTCTGACTCCTTGTAGTGGCGCTCAGGGATCTCATCGTAGGCAATGTCCACGGAACACACCTCCGTCTCCTCTTCTCTGGGCTCACTGCAAAAAATCTGAAGAGGAGGGAGAGGTTTGAGGTGTGAACAGCGGCAGCTGAATCAGAAATGCCCTTTATGAGTTGACAAATGCTGTTGGATGATGTGCTGAAGTTGCACAGAGGTTCAGAGAGGTTTTGACATTGAGATAATTTCCTGTTGGATTTAAGAGAACGGAGCGCTGAGGACATGATGAGCACCTTCCTTCCTTACTAAACTGTGAGGATGAATGTGACTCACAGTCAGTGACACATCATGTGGTCAGTGATTTCTTCCTGCGTGAGTCACACAAGACAACAGAGCAATGGCGTCTAGGTATGTGTTTCTTTCAGAACTCTTTCACTGCCACTGCGTCACAGAGCGTTGATCGTACTTGCTGTATGAACTTCAAACTCAAGAGAACTGAAGACTAAAGGGAGAAAAGAGAATAACTGTACAAATGGTGAAGGCGATGGAGGCGGGGTGCAAATTTGAGAGAAGGAGAAAACACTTGTTACGACCCGCTCCAAATGTGAGATCATGGCCATCTGTGAATCTGTTTGCAACGCCTCTGACCCGCCACTGAGAGGAGCTGCGTCCTCTTGTCATCATCTACAGTATGGATCGAGGCAGCACTGCATAAGCTTCAGACTCGCCCCTGCTGCCTCAAAGTGTGAAGTGGCACTGGGGGAGAGGTGTGGAGCAGAAGTTCTTCTGACAGTGATGAATAGGTAAAGGTCAACACTTGTTGTTTTTTTGGAACAGGAGCTATGTTCAATTCCCTTTTTTCTCCTTTTATCGATATGTGTCTGCACTGTACCTGTTTTCTTTCTCAAAAATGTCCCCACACCTTCAGGCCAATTACTACAGTAACTGAACTGTGAAACCGTTGTGTGATGTCTGTGAGTTCGCTGCTAATTGGGGTGAAGTCACAGGATCAGGGGTGAAGTGATTATGATGCCGAACAATTGCCGATTCTCTTTGTATCCTTCTGTTGGGATTTTAGAGGAATTGAAGCAAGAGGATTGTGAATATGGAAAAGGCTGTTGAATATGGAAACATATGCAAAATGTGCAACAGGGTTCTGTGAAAGATACAGGCTGGTATTAGGTGAAACAAGGAATAAAGCAAATCGGAAATCTGCTGAACGACATGCACCCAACCACACGATACTCTGAGCTCTACTCACATTATCATTGCTGCCTTTGTTGTCCTCGTATTTGGTTTCTATGTGGATGGAAAACTTAGGCAGGAAGGAGCACTGAAGGGAGGAAAAAAAGAAGATGAGACAGTGAGAAATCGATATCCATCCATTAGCTATATCGTTCATACTTTTGAAGGTTGCAGGGGGGGTACAGTCTGGAAGAGTTGCCAGTCTATCACAGGACTGACTGACTGCTGCCCTCAGGAGGTAGAGAGCATTTACTTAAGTACATTTCTCATGTATATGTGCTTTCTACTCCAACTACTACATTTATGCAAAACATTGCATCATATGTAAAATATGTTTTAAACTAATCAATAACGAGAAGGGAATCGATCCACTGATTCATTTTCCATTTAAAAGATAGTAGATATGGACGGTGATAACCTTGTCTCATGATAACTTCCCAGTTTAATGCAGGTTTAGACCAGATTACATCACACAGCTGTCGACTGACCAACAGGATGAGATGTGAAAGTAACTGCGCCTCTGTCTGTGTTTTATCACCTAAACCGAATGAGAACTAATGATTATTCTCTCACTGTGGAGATTTACTACTGCACTGCACAGGCTTCCTTTTTCATGAGCAGCATTACACACACACACACACACCATTATGATGCCTCAGGGCATGTTTACTGCCTTTCATCCTCTCTTTAAATACAGCAGTTTAATTATTACACAACCAAAGAGCAGGAATACTGGTTACATAAACTGTTTATGTACGAACCTGTATGTGTGTGTGTGTGCACGTGTATGCTTGAGTGTGTGTGTGCAGCAGGACAGAGACAACACAAAGGATCAATCTTGCCCTCCACCACAGGAAAGAATGAGCTATAAGGCGTGATGCTGGGAGCCCATGGTGAAAACATAGGTTTTGTGTGTGTGAGCATTACTGTGCACAGGGAAGTAATCGGTGCTGCCTAAGATTACTGGCCTTGTGAGTCTCAGAAGAAGAATTCAATGTGTGTGTGTCTTGAAGCAGTGATGGCACAAGAACAAATTCTATAAACACTTGTTTAACTTATCTGTCTTATTAGAGGCCTCTAATTAAAATTATACCCTGAGCTGCAAACCTCCAGCCTATTTTAACAGGGAAGTCGTGCTGATTTTCAGCAGCACTCGTGTTCTTGAGGTTATTTAGTCAGTTATTCTTTTACGTTCACATGAGCTGCTATGACCTTCCTCAAACATCCAGATGTTACATGCGTGTGTACAGTCTCAGGGGAAAAGATCGGCCTTCTGCTGATTTCATGTGTGCTTCAGTGGTGTTACCTCGCTGCTTTAGACATAAGGTGGACATGCTAATGTCCATCTGTTGCCCCAGAGCAAATCATTAGTGCTTTTCTTAGCCACAGTCAATTAAATCGGTTTTACCTCTAAGTGCTGTGGGATTTGTTAATGTCTTCAATGGGACATTTGCCTGATAATTTGGTATTGACAGGTGGATTGATGCAGCAGGGACAGAGATGTAACAGTGAGGAGGAGATCTGGGCCTGAAGGTGAGGCTCTTACATGTACATCTACATTTCAACCATATCATCGTTAATGAGATCATTAATAATTTATTTTCTTTTCATCAATTAATACATTTGATAATTTCAGCTCTAACTTCCTGCAGCCAAATGAATCAAGATTCTGATCAGTACTCGTCCTGGACACCTTCCTGCAGAGGTGGTCCAGCTATGTCCAAATGTGAGATGACACCAGCACAGAGACACAGAGACACAGAGACACAGTTATATATTCTGTTCTCACAACAATGTATGACCATCTGTGATGTGTGAGAATGACAATATCAACATGTGCCACCATTTAAAGGTCAGCCAGCTACTATGGATGTATGACATTTGCATGTAACAGTTTAAGTGACCATAAATTCTAAGACTTTGCAGATGTCAGCTGTACATGCGCGTATTCACTTCTGAACTACTCACCGTGTACTCTGATCATATTCCCAGCAGAGGCCATCATTATAGAAGACAGAATGGGAGGTAGGGGTGGGGGGGCAGGCAGGAAGAGGGGAACAAAGGATCGAAAAAGTATGAGAGAGAAAAGAAGAAAATAGAGGAGAAAAAAATAATTTAGTTCAAAATGGAGAAGGACCATTAAGCCTCAGCAAGAACACCTCAGAGGATGAGAGGAGCCCATGTTGACATGACAGCCCAATCTTCTAAATCTGAGTGACAATGATATTTTCTTGTGCATGATCCAACACATGCTTTTGTCACATAGACTGTAAATACAGGAGACCTGCGAGTCCCTGTGGAACTGCTCATGTTGTTGTTTTGTATCTCTACATGCTCATTGTCGAGCTCAACATGACAATGAGGTCAAGTAGCATCTGCAGAATGTTAATAATCAACAACCTGTCAGAATTCAGTGGCATTTAAAGCATTTCTTCCTCTGTTAAAGGTTTATTCACACAGTTTTTTGACGGATGACACTTTGAACTAGAGTGACACACGTCAACCAAGGCCAATCAGTCCTACACATAGCTCTTGTATAAAATATGCGTGTGCTTAATGGATTGGTCATTGCACTTGGCAACTGTGTCATCAACACGACACCTTTGCCTTTTAAACTCCCGCTTGAGGCGTGGAAACTCGGAGCAGTCTCCTCCTAAATGAACATTGTCTCCGCTGAGAAAAATAGAATCACACCACCAGAAAAAGGCAATGAGGAAACAAACAAAACAGTTTCTGGCCCTGGCTTGTTTCATCCAGGAGCACCGCTCTGGGCCTGTGCTTAGTTCCCTTGGCAAACCGTCATGATGGTTCTTCCATAATTTCCTGCAGAATGTCTTGTCTTAACCAGCAATCTCCAATCTTCCTTTAGGAGCCATCTGAAATCTCTACGCTCCCTTATTAATGGCATTAATGGTCGTATAGGGGGAAGTAGAGATGTCTATTGCCTTCATCTATGTTGCACTAAATGCATGCCAAGCAAAATAAATTGGGGGGTGCAGGACCAGCTGAAAGGACACTGTGCAGGGACAGGAATCATGAGCATCAACATTTAAAATTAAATGTGTTCTTCCGTGGCCCCTCCACCAAGGTTGGTCTGTTCATTAGCGTTTTCATAATCCTGCTGATGAATAAACCAACAAAAAAACCAACCAACCAACAAACAGACACAGATGAAGACACATCTTCGTTGGCAAAGGAAATTAAACACATTATAAGAATCTGTGCACACAACAAACTTTTGACACTAAGGATGTTACAAAAGATGAGTAGTGCACAAAAATGCAAATCAGATGATGTTTCGCTATCACGGCAGCCATTCAACTGTTCCTTCATAATTCAGCAGCAGCAAAGTAGTGATGCAAACTGTTGAGAAACAACAAAAACCAGAATCCAAAAGCACATTCATGAGAGTGATGTAACCTTGTGTTCATGTCCAGCCTATACGCTCTCCTTTTTCTCCATCACTTACACCATCCCCCTTGAACTCAGTCTCTACAGCCCCTCCTCCCCTCTCATTCATGGGCCAGAATATTGCTTCCATATCCTTTTGCCCTCACAATGATCCCATATAAAGGCTTCTAGCAGGTGAACCGCGTCTGTAGAGGGCTGCAGAAAATGGAAGTGTGTGTGTATATGCTCTTTTTGAACAAATCAGCAGTAAGCCATTTTATTGCAATGTACTTTTTCAAGTGTACTTTGAAGATAACAACACAGATGTATTGTTGAAACGTTACCTGTTATGGTGTAAGGATAATAGTTCCAAGCCTTCTCTGTGACATAGAAGATTTTAGGGACGACTGCTCTGGCCCAACTGGGCAGCTTGCTGAAACACAGAAAAAAGAGTGGATGGTTTACAGAACTAAAGGAGAAGAAAAGGGAGAAAGGGAAAATCACTGATGAAATAAATACATGTAAATTTTTCTGTACAATCACAGTTGTCCTCATCTCTTTGGTTTGCTCCATCACACAGAACAGGAAATGATAATCATCCAGCTGTGTGCAGCCATGATGGCCCCTGGGAAGTTAATTACACTGATTACACCCCAGCCTGCACCCTAAAGTGGACAAGAGGTTGCACCATGATAAATGTAGGAAGACGGGGAGGGCGGAAAATACACATAACTAGCTGTTATTTAGCACAAATGGATTCTACATGCAGACAGCTGCAGCTAAACCTTATTGGGTGTCCTATTAAAGAGGTGAAGGATTACTGAGGGAGGGCCTGGTTTAGCTGGAGGGATAAATGCCACAGGTGAAGAGAGCAGAGTTCCTTTTAAAACTTTTTGACTCTTTTAACGACGGAACAAAGTGCTGATTGACGATAGATGTTGAGAGAGCTAGAATGAGTGTGGTTGTATGCCTCCAACCAGTGCATTTTCAGTTAACATAAAGTCTCATGATGTCACTCTTACCATGGACCACTGGGATCTAATCAGTTCATCTTAGAGTCCTAGTGACAACTGGTCACACTTTGAAGAAATTCCCCAAATGTAGAATTGAGAAAGATCAAAAGTCTGATCAGGTCATCCTCGAGGACAAGTGAGTGCTTATGACATTTTATGAAAACCACTTTGGGTGTTCCTATACCATCAAAACAAATAAGTTCATCTTTGATTTAAAGAGAAAGTTTGAACCAAAGTTCAAGAAATTCCCTCAAGGACACAAAGCCATTAATAAACTGTACCACATTCCACAGGATAATCCACTTTAAATCCAGCAACTGATTATTTATTACTCTGTCTCGAGAAGTGGTAATTAAATGTGGAGATTACACTGGTTTGTAAATGACTGTCTCTGTTTGGGCCACTGGGACATATCTGTAATGGCCTGTCACTCAACCAGGAGTGTCCAGACACAGCAGACTGTCCTCACACTGCCTTGAATACACACACACACGTGCACACACACACGCACAGGCTGCAGCTTTAAGATGGTAACAGGTGGCTTGTGGGTGGGGAGAAGCAGGCGCGCAATCCAACAGTGACTGCTCAAATTAACCATCACTTACAGTGACCTCATCACCCTCTGCCCACGCACACACAGTAACACTCAGACATGAAAGCCAATGCATTCACACACACACACACACA